AATTGCTCGATTTTGAGTTTCCGCGTCCATCCATGTCACGTTTTTTATATTTTTCATAAACGCATCTCGTATTTCATTGATCATGGACTGAGCTGCTGGCTTTGACTCGCCGTCGAAAGCTTGTCGAACAAATATTGCTCCAACTGCAAAACCAATTACATTGTTTGTGTCAGCAATACAATATCTCCAAACTTCCTCTCCGCCATCCGAACCCATCAAAGACTTACGTACAACTTTGTAGGCGTCGCGAAATGGTTTTGAAAGGCATGACGTTAAGGAACGAATGGCTTGCCATATAAGATAATTGTTGAGGGTACTAATAAAAATAATAAATTAAATAAATTTACCAATCTTTATTCTCTATAAGTTTGTTATATGTTACATATAAATTTTATTATTTTTCATGTAAAAAGCTTGTTATAAAGCAATGAGTTTTGCACTGTTATTTTTATTCTGGTATTTTAGTATAAATTCAGGATATGTATTTACACAAATGTAGCTGAGTACATTTAGTAAGTAAAACAAACTTATGGGTCATTTTTTTATTTTTTTAGAATAAGGCAGTCGTCTGTTGCGTGCGATTTGCATAGGATATAATTGATAAACGATATTGCGTTCAGTAAAAACTTAAGTGGAGAAAAACTTGCAAACACAAAATAAATCAAATAAAGGCTAAGTTTAAACTAATTTAATTTATTAGAAAATGTTAAAATGTCATAATGTCATAATGGTTTTTCAATAAAAAATTTTTTAATTTGTATTTACATACACATATTAAAAATATTTAGAAATTATGAAAATTATTTGTTTTATTTTATTGTTAGTGAAGTCAAACTTCTTAAAAATATTTATAGAAACTATTATTTCTGCATTTTTGTATTTGTATTTCAGGTTCCCAACGAAATATTGTGTTTGTAAAACAATGTGTATTGAATAAACAGAATGCAAACAAGATAATAAATTAAGAATTTACATTAAATGCAGTTAATCAAAATGGCCAGCTAGAACAACAATTTTGATCAATTGTAATATTTGTGTTGAGCTCTATTGGGTTTTGGGCACAAGGCCGCCACACCGCCCTAACCTAATATGTACTACAATAAATCAATGCTGGTTTGAATAGGCAATTAGCCAAGATAGTATTGTCATGTTTTCTTAAATTTTGTTGAAAATACCTATCTTTTTGAATAAAATTCAACCTCTTACTTACCGAACACATTTGTCTTGAATTAAGAAAACAAATAAGCGAAGAAATTTTTGTTTAACAAATTATTTTTAGGCAATAAGTAGGTTTATGAAATATAAATAAATAAAATAAAAATTTATTTTTATTTACAGCATCTGTATTATAACTATATTATATGAATTATAACTATATTAAATGTATTATAACATAATATGTAATATTAGTTGGAATCAATGTTTTATTTTTCTGAATGTATGTAGGAGTTCGTAAAAACAAATGCAACCCTTCAACACATTTATTCTGATAGCCAAAGACTATTTAATACTATTTTAAATTTTGTATTTTTAAGATGCGGGAGTAGAGATGGAGAACTTTCAATGGCACTATCGAGACTATCGATAGCTAACTACAATCGATCCGCCATCGATGACAGTGCTAGACTATCGATAGTCAATGATAGTTTGTCATAGCAACGCTTCACAAAAAAACGCATATTTGGCATCTGTAGTTTGTCACAGTGCATAGTGAATTTTAAATTCGAATTCTAAAAACGTTACGGAGATAAGCATTTCCACATTAAATTACTATTAAATAGTATGGAGAAGTTTCTGACTGGAGCCGAAAAAGCAGTATTCAAAATGTTAACGTTTTATTGCAATAGCGCTGACTCGGACGCTAGTACGATTAAAAATGAAACGCCCAAATGAAAGAAAGGTACTTCGAAACTATGGAGATACTTTAAAAGATCAGGATAAAAAACTCGCTAAGTGCCTAAACTGTGGCATAGAGTATAAGACGAGCGGTTACACCACGAACCTACAACACCATTTGAAGAGATTTCATCCAGGGCTTCTTAATCCCACAACAGCACTGTGTGATATTAATTAAATTTTAGTTGAAATTTGAAATTAAAACATAATTTTTTGAATTGAACAGATATTTGTATTGAAATTAACCTACTATCGAAAACTATCGATGGTTTGGAAAAAAACTGTCGCTCACTATCGATGGTGCTGACTATCGATAGTTCTCTACCTCTATGCGGGAGAGGCTGGAGTGTTTGTATTATTTCGAGTCAACTTGTGCGCTCTGAACTATTATAATTGTTGGTGTTTTTATGTACAAACGTGCATTTAACAACAGAGAAATCATGAAGAGCAACTTATGAGAATATCAAAACAATAAATGTTTGCCAAAACACCAAAAAATAGTTGTTTGTTTTATGTTGCTTCGTTTTCAATGCAATTGATTTCATTTATTTTAGAATTTGTTGTGAAATCCAAATTACTTCTTTGTGTAGAAGTAAACAGCATTATTTTGTACGTTATTATAATTTGTTTTCAGTTTTATGAAATTTTAGCGAAATCGATAGTTCTATTGTACTAATTTCATTACTTTGATTACACAAAGCCCTTTAAAGTTTTATGAACAAAGTCCAGAACTAAATCTAGAAAACAGCTATTAAACTATTCTGGCGACAGAAATTCAATATGAAATAAATTTTTTCTGTGCGTTGTTAAAGCTGCACCATCACAAAGAATGGGCATGGTTTCCTCATCTTAGCAGATAATCGTAGTTTAGGAAAATGATATTTCAGAGCATAATCTCCTGTATTGAAACTTGTTTTCAACTTTAAATTACTTTTTGAGAATTTAATACGGCGTTTACATTGGCCGAAAATGGCTCATTTTGGTCAAAAATTGAAAATGAGTATCGAATGGCTCATTCTTGCATATAAAATTTCAAGCACAAAATGAGCAATTTTCTCACATTCTGTATGAATGACGTTCGAATGCATTCCACATATGTTCCAAATGCAAAGGAATCTATTGAACATACCCTAAATGAAAGCTCTTCATGGCATTTTGACAGTTTGTAAAAGCTGTTTTGACATATTTACAAAAAAAAGATAAACAAATGTTTAGTAGTTTTATTTCAGTTTGAATTGTTACCATGAGAACGAATGAAATACAACGAATGTAAACACTTTCAAATGAGTCATTCAAAATGAGCCATTTTCGGCCAATGTAAACGCCGTATAAGAATGTTTTTGTAGGTATATGGTTTGATCTGTGTTTTGCATTGTCTGAGTCCAAAAAAATCAAAAAATCAAAATCTTAAATCCCAAAAAATCAAAATCTTATTCTATAAAATGATAAATTTTTCATAATTTTAAATAATATCAAAAAACATCAATTTAAATTATAATTAAAAATAAATTATTTCAATATTTATACTTAATAAGTTTAAAAAACAATCGATGAAATATTGACATAATAAATTCACGAAGATTTCTCATACAAAATGAACAAACTTCTAAATAAATTTTTCCATGTTGACTATAAGAATATAGTATAGATATAATGTATTGACAACTCTTAATAATAAAATTAAACTAATATATAATAAAATAAACTAATTATTAATTATCAAGATCAATTAACAATTCTACTTATTGATAAAAGTTTTCCTTATAAATTTAAAGTAGGAAGAGAACTTAATAAAAATCATTATAAAGTTAATGATGGTGTAAAATTCAATAATTTCTTATTGGTTAATAAACTTCGACTTCCTAACCGTTTATATATTATATTTGCTAAACAAAACAGGTCTGACAAATATAATCCATGTTCAATTATTAATGTATATCCACTACAATTTCCTTAATTTTTAAAATTTAGCTACAGAAGTATCAAAATTTAAGAATCAATATTTTTAAATCAACTCAATAAACAATATATGCCATATATGGAAATAATTTATACCGTTAAAAAGGTGAAGACGTGGAGAAGTTCACGACGTTATTTTTTCGCATGTACGTTCGCATGTGATACTGTATAAAGTCAAAGTAGGATTTCAGTACTGATTTTGAGTAACAATTACAAAAAGCAAATTTAAATTTCTTCTTGAGCTGAGTAGGCTATTCGAATTAACTAATGATATGTAGTAAAATTAAAAAATGTAAAATTATTATTATGTGATGATTTTAGAAAAATATTGCTTGCAGTTTCTCATGCATCACGATCAGTAATGATTGCAAATTGTATAACGAGTTGGGCAGAATTCCCGTTTTTCAATCGTATAACGTTAACTCAAAATATGAGAGCATGCCTCGAAGAGTTGGTGTTTAAGAATACATTTTATTTAATTTTCAATTTAATAGTAAATGATTAAGAATACAATTTATTTTATTTTCAAGTTTTACAATTGTAACAAACAAAAGATCCCACGTGCACACACCGAACTACTACGAATAACAACCAAGCAAAAAGTGTCTCTACAAAAGGGTGCTGTTTCAATGCATTTTGCTTTTTTTGAACAAATGTTCAAAAAGGTGCAATCCCAATGTACTGTGTATTTGATTCACGAACATCTCGGGCGACCCTGAAACAGCGTTTCAGAATATAGGTGAAACAATAACCTTCGTAATGGGTCGCGTTATCTCCCCGTGAACAGTGAAGTTTTACGACTCGAACGAGCCCATCTGAACCAAGATGTATTTTAACTACCTTAGCCATGAGCCACTTTACTGGTGGTATGTTCGATTCCTGACCACTATGTTGCCCACAGCTATATTTGGTTGCCGTCAAAATCATTTTGGACGGTGTTGTAGAGATGTTAAGTATTCCTGATGTCATATACGCCAAAATCTTTGAAGCATATTTTGTATGTGCTGCCAGTAGTCTAATTTGTTGACGTTTATATGACTTTGATCGCTTTCTGGAACCAACGTGTACGGACGATTAATCAAAAAATGATAAGGAGAAGATAATTAGTATCCGGGTCTGAAGTGGCGCCTAGGGGGCGAGAATTTACAACTGCTTCAATTTCTGTCAGCAAGGTATTCATCTGGTCAAAAGTAATCACTGCATTGCCTATTACGCGCCGTAGATGTAACTTGACTGATCGCACTGCCGATTCCCAGATTTCACCCCTATGTGGTGTATGTGGTGGGATAGAACTCCATCGGATTCCGTCTTCTGCTAAAGACGCGGAAATGATTTCGTTCCAAAACTGTGACATAATTGCTGCATGCATCTCGTTTAACACACGAAAAGCACCAAGAAAATTCTTTTCATTATCGCTAAAGATTGAAGTACACTTTCCACGACGGGACATGAAACGGCAAAATGCTGTAAGGAAGCAATTAGTACTTAGGTCAGTAGCGAGTTCGAGGTGTATAGCAGATGTAACGAGGCAAACAAATAAGTAAATATACCTTGGAGGTACGTGCATTTCTTCCGCTATATAATTTCAGTGCGAAGGGCGCAGCGTAGTCGCACCCAGTATTTTCAAAGGGATGTGCTTGTCGAACCCGCACTGCTGGTAGATCAGCAATGAACTGTTGTGTTGTTAGCTGGCGTTGACGAAAGCATTTGTGACATTTATGAGTTAACCTCCTTATTTAATTTCGTGCTCCAAAAGTCAAGTAGTTCTGGCGGATGTGAACAAAACGTGCAGACACTCCTGGATGAAGATTTTTCTGATGTTCATTGAGTTGGATTAACGTGGAAATTCTATGTACCTTCGGGAGTCAAATAGGATGACGGGTGTTTTCGTCTAACGTTGAATGCGTAATTCTTCCACCGACACGTAAAAGTCTGGTACCATCAATGAATGGGGCAAGTTTGAGTAAGGTAGATCTTCTGCTAAGCTCCCTGTTATTTCTTAATTGCAGCAAATCTTCATTGTAGCAGGTTTGTGCTAGTCGTAAGCAAATTAGTCGAGCTTCACTTAATTAATAAAAGGTAGATTGCTCACGGCCTTGCTGAACATATCGGGGGTGCGTTTTACTACGAAACCGTATGATACAACTCGCAATAATTTCTTGCATGCTAAGACCCTTTCTACCAGCTCTTCTAAACTATTATCCCTCGCTACTTCCATAGAGACTAGGTTTACCTTGGTACACTTCATTTCAGTGGTTACATCTTTTTCTGAATATGCGAGGAAATTAACATCGTTATTATATAAAGACTTACCAGTAGTTACGTTCGCTAGCCAGGGAGACCCCTTCCACCATAGTTGAAAGTCTAATAATTCGTAGCATTTAATATGTCCCCATCTACTTCGTGGATGAGTTTCTAATATTTCTGCTGTGCGATTCGCGATAAACGTTTTTAATTTGATTGGTGGTTCACGACGTTTTAGCCAAACTTCTCCGAGATTAGAAGGGAGATGGTCGTCCCATTTCAAATTAGTGAGCCATAATTTTTGGAAAAAATCTTGAATTGAAGAATAACAGGAGCAAGAACGCCCATTGGATCAAATATCCGTGATACGTCTGATAATACTTGCCGATTAGTTAATTTTGGAATTTCATCTAAGCAAATCTTATATCCAACTACGTCCTCGCATGGCTTCCAATAGATACCCAAAAGCTTCGTCATATCATCTAGCTCATCCTTCAAAAAACAGCGATCAGACTGATCATAGAAATTAGAGGTTATGGAGCTACAATTAGAGACCCGTTTTCGAAGTTCAAATCCTGCATCCGCACAAAGTTGAATTAGCTCGTCACGTTTTTCTTCTAGTTCACTCATGGACTGACATCGTCAACGCAAAAATCTTCAAGAATAATTTTCGCAGCGAGAGGGTATCTTCTTTGATGATCCTTTGCAAGCTGTTCGAGGACCCTCACAGAGAGAAATGGTGCGCATGATGTACCATAAGTAACTGTACATAATATGAAATATTTTAGTTTTTCTGATGAATCTTCCCTCCAAACAATTCGCTGATAATTTCGATGATTTTCTGATACCCAAATCTGACGGAACATTTTTACTATATCAGCAGAGAATATATATTTATGTAGACAAAACCGAAGGCAAAGATCAAATAAATTTGGTTGTGTACTTGGACCTGTATGCAACGTACTGTTAAGTGAAACTCCGCTGGTATCTTGAAATAAGCGGACAAAGACAACGTGTAGTTTTGGTTTAATTATTGGATGATGCGGCATATAAAAACTGTGGCTATCACTGGCAACAACTTCATCAGACTTAAGTTCCCGCATGTGTCCCAGACGAGTATATTTATTCATGAACTCAATATATTGCTTACGAAGGTGACTGTCCCTCAGTTGGCGACGTTCAACAGCATTAAACCTTAATGTAGCCCCTTGAAGCGTGTTTCCGAATTTGATACCTTTTTCCCTGAATGGAAGCTCCACAATATATTTGCCGTCAGAGTGTCGTGCGTGCGTTTCTAAAAAATGAGTTTCTACGTGAACGTTTTTTGCGTCTAATGGCAACGGATGTAAGGCTTTTTCGATTTGCCAAAATTTTGGAAGCGAGCGATCTATATCAATCGTAGTTACAAAAGCCGATACTACATTATCTATTGATGCCTGAACTGATGTCACCACACATCCAAATATTATTGATGCAGCAATAGGATTACCAGAGGAGTCGAAAATATTGTTAAAAGTAAATATTTTCCAAACTTGATCAACACCAAGCAAAATACCAATCGGTGATGAAGCATTAAAAACTGCAAAATTCAAGTCCTTGAGTTGCTCCATAGTAGGAGTATTGATTTGTGACGTAGGAATTGCTGATGTAATCTTGCTCAAGACATGAACACTTACATCTGGTGTGTCCTGGGAAACCTTTGATTTCATATAGAGTGTACAACAGTCACATGTAGTCTCGGCCTTAACAGAAGAAATTCCAGACACAGCAATACGGGAAGGTGAACGAGGTACACCAAGGGCCCGAGCACATCGCTCCGAAATATAACTTAGTTCCGACGCACTATCAAGAAGGACACTGCATGTAACATATCTATTTTGAGTGTTGCGAACGTCAACAAGTGCTGTTGGTAACATGTATCTACTGCCTTGATGACAAGTTAGAGTGGTTACTGTTGGCAAAGTTTCCAGACAAGTAGTGGGATACAAAATATCTGGACGAGAAACATTAGCAACAGTTGACCATGGCTTGCCAGAGGATATCGCAGCGGATGCTGATGTTGATGAAGCAATTGTTGTTGACGAATCAACCTGCATCTTGTGTACAAGAGTGTGGTGGCGCTTATTGCATTCTCTACATCGGAATTTGGAATTACATGCGTGTGATTAATGTCCCGATCTGAGACAATTGAAATATAACGAGTGACTTTTCACAAACTCGCGGCGCTCATCGATAGACATCAATAGAAATGCATTACATTTAGGTATACTGTGCTCAGTTGAATTACATTTGACACATTTTTGTAACACTTTGTCGACAAAAACGAGAGATGATTTTGATTTGTCTAAGGTTTTAAATTTGCATTAGATTTATACTGGGTCAACTCTAATTCTTCACAGCGAGAATCCGAAAATTAAAAAAATTCAGAGATTGACGGCGAAGTATCCCCTCGACTCTCATGTATTCTTTTGCGACGAGATTTAGGGTCAACCTTCGATAATAACAAATGGATAAGCCAACAATCACAATTGGTTTGACCTACTGCATCGAGACCCCTTATTGTTTCGTTTGCACCATCAGAAATTCTCCTTAAAATTACACAATTTTCCTGCGATGTTGATGGAAGCGCCATAATGTTTTCAATAAATGCCGTGACGATGTGCTCAGGGCGATCAAAACACTCCAGTAGACGTGTCCATGCTGTACTGTAAGCAGCTTCCGTAACTGGAATATGTTTGATAAGAGCAGCACTTCATCCTTCAATAGAGATTTCAATAATAATAAAAACTTAATATATAAAACATAATCAATTATTATTTAACCAATTATTGTGTTTATGAATATTCTTTATAAAACCATTGCTACTGTATGGCATAGCACAGCTTCACAACTAAAAATATTAAGAGCATTTACACTAATAACAACTGTGGCAGCCCTACTCCCTCCGGTGTCTTCTCATCATATCATAGGCAAACATCATATTTTAGTATGAAGCCAGTATAAAATTTCAGCAAAAATCAAATTTAAAATAATTTTGAAAAACGTGCATTTCATGCACATAAAGCCAGTCATATATTTTAAATAAAAAATAAACACAACAACAAAATCTATGCATCACATTCAAAAATATTGTCTCACCTACCCATGCATATATATATTTAGTAAGTGTGCAATAAAAAGAAGAGTAGAAAAAACGTACTAAGAAAGTTACGCATGAACTAGAAGATATGTGTGCATTTGCTCTCATATCAAAGTTATTTCTATATGGTTTTGTCCAAGCAAAACACAAAATGTTCGCTATTGGTTTGACTGGTGACTCCACTAACAAGATATTAGTGATCATACATGATCATTTTTATGTTTGAACAGACATGTTTTTTCCATTGTGTGTACTTTTTCAGAATTCATGATTTTTTTAATAGTGGCAAATTACATGTCTTTATATTTCTATGTTTTTGCTCTGGTCTTTTTAATGGGATGCAAATAAAAAATTAGGGGTATTTAGGATGTATGTGCATCGTTGCATGTGCAAAATTATTTGATTTTACAAAAACAATTCCCTTATGTATAATTCTTCACTTGATTTGCAAGACAATATTCAAGACCATATTTTCAACACCAATTACCTCTTGCATATTTGATTTTCAAGACTCTATTATGAATAATACTACTTTTTTTACTCTCCGCTGGGCAATACTTTAGCGAAATGGTCGTTTTTTTTATTTTGTCATTTTGTAATTTTATGATTTTATGCAATTGTTTGATTTTGTATTTATTTTACGTCCAACAATGTCGAAGCTGCTGGCCAAAAATATTCGGAGATGTAGCAACAAAAAGTGGACCAACAATGAGATAAATCTCATTCTAGATTTCCTTGAGGAAACTGAAGGTTTTGAGGTATATGTGTTATATATTTGTCTATCGAGTTTATTTCTTTTTCTGTATTGTATTAGACTCCAACAGCGCAAATGTTCTATAGGAAACTTATAGAATCAAAATATATTAGCGCAACTTGGAATATGTTGCGGTTTAAAGTACGCCATTTAAGACAAAGTTACAAGAAAACAAGTAAGAGGTATTCTTTCCTTCTTTTTTATTTTCTTTATAATTTATTACAAAAATTTATATTTAACCATTAAATATTAATGAAAATACATCTTGCCGTTTCATTTCACTATTTCTGATATTTCCGGCACAATTGCATTTTCAGTTGTGGTATTCTCATCTTCTAATAATATATTATGTAAAATACAACGAACTGAAATCTATTTGGAGCAATGCTTATAGCTGTTTATGTTTTGGAGACGCATCCGCAATCTTTTGAGACTTCCAAATCTTTCCTTTAATATGCCAAAGCAGTGCTCAATACGTACTCGGTATGTGCTATGTCGCAGATTGAAAACAATTCGGGAGTCTCTACTCATCTGATGCGCATTTTTTCTGTATGGAGTTAACACATATTCTGATAAAGGATATAATAAATCACCCGCAATCCATTCTCCAGGTGAAAAAAAATTTTCTTTTTGTTTATAAATTGAGCTGTTACGATATATTTTTGCATCATGCCAACTGCCTGGATGACCTACTACAACATGTCGAATTCGCAGCTCATGATCACAAACGATTTGAGCTTTTATGGAGTAAACGTGATGTCGCGAAAAAAAAGTTATGTGATTTGTAGTGGACCTACCTCACTCAATTCTTAGCCACTTAACATTACTCGTAAATAATAATAGTAAGCAGATTTATGAATTGGTTGCACTTCATGCATACCGTACAAGAAGCATAAGCAAAGCGTCATAAACAAAAGAGTTTCGTATTACCAACGAAAATATTGCCACACGCTGTTCCAATTGCTGAACACATGTTACAATATTTTCAATAGTAATATTTCCTATATTGCTAAAGACATGTGCAAGCAATATTGTCAATGCACTCTAATAATAACTTTGACGTTTGACCTAAATGAGCAAACAGTGTAGTCGCTATGCAATGCATTCTGCAAGGTCAGCAATCACTTTGATTGGCTGCGGTTATACTTTTCCAGGTTTTGTCTGGAATAAAGAGGCGGAGTCTTGAGATCGCTAGAATCTAGGAAAATGTATAAATACCCAAACTATTGTTAAATAAAATCAGAATATATACTTATGACTGCAGATATACATGCGTTGTTGAATTTTATTCTCACTCCTTCTGGCCAAGTAACACTGGCCTAGGTACCAGCGGTAACAAGCCGCTTGATAACTTGTTCTTGATTGCATCAGTAGGTTTTTTTGATGCATGCTCGTATCAGGCAGGGATAATTACACGTACCGGACTAATACATTACACTAGTTCCATTGATAAAGAAGTTCCATTACATTGATTGAATATTGTCTACAATTCCATACATCCATTACAGATTATTAACTAGACTTTCAGCTAATTTTATTTCCGTACCATCTATATAACCAACGCAGAAAGGTACCTCGTACATAGTTGCTGCAACAAGCTGGGAACGGTCACATGCATTCGGCCAAAAGATATAATTAGGTTGTAATTTCAAAATAGCCTTAAAGACTCTGCGTGTTATATTCATTATCGTTCTTGGCATTGTTAAAATTTTGCATATCGAATTTGAGTTATATTTTACAAGTAAATAATTACAAAAACAAAAATCACCTGTTCTAAATATTTTCAAGACCAATATTCACAAAATGCGATTATTTGAGTTTGCAATGATGCACATTCAACGATGCACAGACATCCTGAATACCCCTATTATTTATTTTATTTTTTCACCCGACATTTTGTTGGTTTTCTCCAACATCTTCAGGGGTATCTAAAAGATTTTTTTATTTAATAATTATGATTTTTTTTACAATGTGAACATAAATATATAATTTTTAAAATGTATAAAATTGCACAAAAACATATACATAAAATAAATAACAACAAATTTAATAACAAAACAAACAATAGTAATAGTTATCAATTCAAAGTTCTAGAATTATTTAATTAGAATAAGTACTGTTAAACCACTAAAACGCACAACTGGTCACCTTTAAAATAAGTCAACATGTGGACACCCAACGTATAACGTAGCGTGCTTCTTAAAAAATGTGTTTTCAATTATAAATTAAAGTAAAGTAAAATTAATAACTAATTCGAACTAATTATTTTGAATAGTTTTTCTTAAACTAGTTAACAAGCCTTGGCGAACCGCAAGGCAAAACACAAAAATACCTTTTTTGTAAACATTTTGGCGACCATGACAGAACCCTATCAACCAATTCGCATAACTGGAGTCGGTTTCAGCAAGTGCTGATCAGTGTACAAACATTTTGGTGTTCAATTTGCATAATTGGTCGCATACAATTAATAAAAGTGATGAATTGGTAACTTTCGTCTTAAAATTTACAATTCAAGCCTTCAGTGATTTTTTGTTTTGATAAAATCAACATAAGTACTGGATTGAAGTGTTCAGTACTTGCAACCAGTTGATTCCAACGTTTTGATCAAACATTTTTGGAGACCACGTAAAACGGACAGCAGCACTGGACTGGCAGCAGTCAACAACCAACAGCAGTTCATTTTCACCATTCAGCATTCGTAACACATTTGGCAAAAACTCCAGATCGTCGATGGCAACTCTAAATGAGTTCCTAGGAGACGGGCGAAGAAATTCAGCGAATCGTTAGGAATTTCAAAAAAGATTCGTCTGAACGTAAGCAAACACCCACATACTACAATGAAAGGTTATGTCGGCTTAATGTTGCTTGGACTTGATTTGAACAAAATAACTCAACGCTAAGAACTCTCATCGATCAACCAACAGATGATGAGTATTTTACATCTCGATAGAAGCCCTTCGAATCAAAGCAACAGATGAAAGTGCTAGTAACCAAATGGCTGCTGCTAGTAGCCGCAACTAGCGGTTACGACAAATGGTTTGATAAGAAAGATATCTGCTCCAATGGCAGCTCTAGAAAGATTAGTAGAGAATTTGTCAGAGAGCCAAGTCTTACCGCCAATTCAATATTATGAAATTAAATCAAGTCCGATCATGCAACAATGGAACCAACTGGGATGTTTGCATGATGAACTGTGGGAAAACTTGGAAAATCCACTGACGTCATTAAACCAAGATTTAACCAAATTGAAGATTTGGTACAACAATGCTTAATAGAGCTCTCCATAAAATTGGATTAACAACAAAACAAACAAGCAGCAGTAGCAGAAACAAATATGCGTTCCTCACTGCCATTGCCAAAGGTAACAAGCCCAAGTTTTAATGGGAATTACTTGAAACGGAGACAATTTTTTGATTTGTTCACGCAAATAGTAGACAAACAGCCGTTACAAGATACAGGTGAAGCAGAAAAATTGATCAGCCATTTCAGCATAACGGAGGAAAACTATTCAACAGTCTAAACATTATTGCTATAACAATAAAAGGGTCTTGGCCTTCATCTTAAATGATGAACTGTTAAATCAGGCATCAGGCACTTCAACTGTGGCAGCAGTTAAAAATTTACAAGATACAACAAAAGAATGCATATAAGCACTGAACAATTTTGGCGTGCAAATTACTTTTTGGGAGCCAATTTTGCTCCAGGTACTAAAAAATAAACTTGATCGGACGATGCTCATTAGGTATGAGCAATCACTGTCAAAACCAAAAAAAATACAAAATATTCAGGAGTTTTTAGCCTTCTTAGAGCTACAATTTTAACTGATGGAAGTCGTAGAATAAAAAGATAAGGTAGAAAAAAATAAATTAGACCGAAATAGATTAATTTCGTCGGCTGCAACAATTCCCAAAGGAAACAACAATTGCAAAATTCCTGCAATTTTCGCCATCTCAACGATTTTATTGGGTGAAAAACCAACAGCTCTGTATTAACTGTTTCAAACATGATCATGTGGTGAGCAAATGTTTATCAAGAAGTTGTACCAAATTTAATAAAAAGCATAACACATTGCTGCATTTGGAAGTCAACAATCAAACAAAAATAAACATTCAACCTAGTGCAAGTATGTACAATACCGCAGTTACTACAGCGACAGTAAACACATCCACAGGTCATCGTGATTATGTTTTCTTGCCAACTGCAAGAGTCAAAATAACTGCAGCTGATGGAAATACGAGTGAAGTCCGAGCATTACTAGACTCTGGTTCACAAGTGAACAAAGTCTCTGAGCGTCTTGTCAAAAGGCTCAATATATCAAAAACGAAATCGTTATTGTGCATAGAAGGTATAGAAAAGGTGCAGAAAAATTCAACGCAGCGAGTTAACATCAAACTGCAATCCCTTAACTCGAGGTTTACCACAGATGTCGAAACGTTTGTTCTTCCAAATATAGTTCCACCTCAACCAAATTTCAACTACGATATTTCCAAAAGTAAAGTCCCGAACAGCATTCAGTTAGCATTAACATTTTTCCAACAAGGAAAAATTGATATTTTACTCGGTGCAGAGTTCTATTTCAGTCTGTTAAAAAAAGATAAAATCTCGCTTGCTCCTGGCCTTCCAGTCTTGCAAAATTCTACACCTGGGTGCATTGTTAGTGGCAAGGTTGCATCAAATACAGACACATTAAACGTTTTATGTGCAGTTTTTGACGGTAGGGTGGAGGCTGTTGATAATAATTCATCGTTAGAAGATACAATTGAGCGGTTACGGCGAATGGATGAGGTGAACACAACAGAGAGGATATTATCCAAAGAAGAAAAATTATGCGAATCTCATTTTGCTCATACAAATAAAGAAGGACGTTTTGTGGTAAGGTTGCCGTTTCTGGAAAACTCATGGACGTTAGGGGAATCTCAAGAAACAGCTTGGGGAAGGTTCGTTAGTCCTGAACGACGACTAGCAAAAAATGATGTGTTGCGGAAACAATATGTGAAGTTTATGGAAGAGTATGAGCTGGATTCCATGTTGACCCCAAAATATTTCATTCCTCATCATTGTGTACTAAAACCAGATAGTACCACTATCAAACTTCGAGTGGTGTTTGATGCATCAGCTAAAACTACATCTGGACACTCGTTGAATGATTTAATGTATAACGGACCGACAGTTCAAAGCGAACTCTTTTCAATTTTGCTCCGTTTTAGGCGACCACAGTTTGTTTTCACCACAGATATCGAAAAAACGTATCTTTAAGTTTTAATAAATCCTGAAGATCGACGCTATCAACTTATCATAACATGGTCAACCTTTAGAGAAAACTTAAGTACTTAAAAATCTTCAAGTGACAAGACATATCTTAAAAGGCGAGGTACCCTCATCAACACAGCTACACATTTATTTGGTGCTGCAGCATATGTCAGAGCAATTTTAAAGGACGGCAGAATAATAGTGCGATTATTATGTGCAAAGTCAAGGATGGCACTGGTCAGAAAAAAAAACGCTACTGCGACTAGAGTTATGTGCGGCAGTCCTAGCAGCGGAACTTTCAGCGAGAGTCAAAAGTGATCTTCAGGAAAAGAACCAGCCAGTATTTTTGTGGACTGATTCAAAAATTGAGTTGTCTTGGATCAATTCACAGTCTTCATTATTTCATACATTTGTAGCTAACAGGGTGGCAAGAATTCAAACTTTAACTGTGTGTGATCAGTGGCGACATGTTAGGTCAAAGGACAACCCAGCTGATGTGTTATCAAGAGGACTGTCAGCAAGGGCGTTGTCAACATGTGCACTTTGGTTTCAAGGGCCGTTCTTGTTGCATGGAAGACAGGAAGTATGGCCACCAAGATTTTCGACATCATTACAAGTTCCAGTTGATCTGGAGTAGAAAATGGTTGTAGCTGTAGCAACTCAAAGCAATGACGCAGATTAGTAGCATAGTAGCATATGTTCTTGGATTTGTGGCGCTTATGTAGCATTATCAAAATCAGAAGTTTACTTAGAGAAATAAAAATTTGACAATCCTGTTTTTTCAAACACATACATTTTTAAGTTTTTAGTTTTTTGTTAACGAAGCAACATAATAGTTAGTAATAAGGAAACTTTAAATGAATATATAAAAAACTCGTATTTAAAGGCATTCATTACTACATTGGTGACCCTCGACGTTAGAAATAAGTGTTAATGTAGTTATTAATAATAAAAGTCGTAAATTGGGAACAACTCAAAACATGTCGCAAACTGAAGCAGACAATAATGTACATGATGTTAATGATATGCTGACAGTTAATAGTGTGCAAATTAACACTCGAGCTGGTGATATTTGCCGCATAGGAGTTAAAGTACCTGCTTTAAGCAAGCGAGATCCAGATCTATATTTCATTCAAATGGAGTCGCAGTTTCGAAACGCGGGCATAACAACGGATCAAACGAAGTACGACCACGTTGTTGGTAGCCTCGACAGCAACACATTGAGGAACATCGCCGATATCATACGTGCTCCACCTGCCGTTAATAAGTATGAAGCAGTCAAGAGACGATTGATTCAAGATTTCGCGGATTCAGAAAATCACAAACTGCGACGGCTCATGAAGGAATGTCAGTTAGGTGACCACAAGCCGACGCATTTGCTACGAACGACAATTGTGGTTAGATCGTCTGCCAGAAGCTGTACGAACGGTCGTGTCCATTTCTGATGTCGATTTGGATAATTGTGCACAACAAGCAGATATAATGCTGGAAATGGGAAATTACAATTCTGTTTCTGAAATGCATACCAGTGAGAGAAATATAGGTGACAATCCAGCTGTGCCTTCTTCCTTTGATCTCAGGCATTTAGTGAATGCTGTGGAAGAACTTAGCAAGCAGTTTCGAGACAGCAAAGTGTCGCAACACCAATTTCGCTCACGACGTAGATCACATACACCGGCACGAACACAACATTCACGAACGCGTCCGGCAAACCTGGTATCGAAATATCCAATGTGTTTCTACAATCATCGTTTTGGCGCAAGTGCGCGCAAGTGTGCCAAGCTTTGCAGCTTCACATCCATGGAAAACTAAATTCCGCTTCGTCACCGGCGGTTAGCGAAGCAAAAATTTATTACAAATCTAGCCGATTATACGTTTTAGATCCCTCGACGCAATTGAAATTCCTTGTCGACACAGGTGCAGATTTCTCAATTTTACTCATATCAATTTTCGGCAGAACTAAGCCGACAGCATCTGCCAAACTCTTGTATGCAACAAACGGAACTTTAATACAAACATACGGAAATAAATTAATGACGTTGAATCTTGGCCTGCGGCTCAAACTTGATTAGGAGTTCTTCGTAGCCGATGTATGTAAACCTATACTGGGAGCTGACTTTCTGCAATATTACGGTCTATTGGTAGATTTGCAGCGTAAACTCCTCGTTGACAGCAAAACTAATATGAAAGTTCATTGTGCAACAGCGTTACGTATGCCATTCGCAGTGAATGCAGATCATCCTGTAAGGACGGAATTTTGTACAAATTTCCGCCCTACATAAACTTATAATTTTCACAAAAATTCGTCTGCATAAAAATCTATTTATATATTATAAAAAAAGCCAGCAGCGAACATCCACACGCACGGCAAGCACAGCAAAGCCAGCAGCAAACATCCACACGCACGGCAAGCACAGCAAAGCCAGCAGCGAACATTCACACGCACGCGGGATTACACTTGTGCGGTTGTGCGTGCAAATAATAATGTGAGAAGAATTGCATATAAATAGACAAGATTTTGTATGCAAAAAATCACTTGGCACCAGCATACCGAAGCGAGTAGACCTCTACTCCAGCGCTAAGTCCCCTTTTTAGAAGCCCATAGTGTTTTGATGCTAAGACTAAATAAATCCGTAGAGCTTATTGAGTAGAATTTTATAACGCTTCTGATGTTCTGACGTCTTTGTCTAGAACGTATTAAGTAGATTTTTATAACGCCTCTGATGTTCTGACGTCTTTGGCTAAAACGCATTGAATAGATTTTTATAACGCCTCTGATGTTTTGACATCATTGGCCAGAAGTATAGTCAAGCTTAGAATAAATTATTTTGGAAACTTTTAATAAATAAATTTTGAAATAAAAGAAATCAAACCGCTTTTAACTTTCTTCTCATTGGTTTACCAGCTTCGAACTGGTCAATAAACAAATTTATTGCGATGACCCGGACCGCGACTGAGTGATACCTCGGCAAAAATTAAACGACGAATCCGTGTCGTTACAATCCATTCCGAAAATTATTGGAAGAGTTCAAAGATCTAACAATTTCAACATCGTATAACAAGTCTGGAGCAGTAAGAACCAAGGTGCAACATCACATCGTTACCACGGGGCAACCAGTCTATGCACGTCCCAGGCGGCTCAATCCACAAAGGCTGCAAGCAGCAAAAAGTGAGTTCCAGCACATGCTTGATCAAGGAATATGCACTCCTTCAAAAAGCGAATGGGCCAATCCGTTACATATGGTTTAGAAGAAAAGTGGTACTTGGAGGCCGTGCGGAGATTACAGACGACTCAATGCACAGACAGTTCCAGATCGTTACCCGATAGCGCACATTCAAGATTTTACTCAGAATTTGAGTGGCAAAGCTATCTTCACCACACTTGACTTGGAACGAGCTTACTTCAGTATACCTATAGCATCCGAAGACAGAAAGAAAACTGCTATTATCACACCATTCGGGTTGTTCGAGTTTAATGTGCTGACATTCGGGCTGTGCAATGCAGCTCAAACTTTTCAATGGTTCATGGAGCAAGTACTTAGCGGTTTGGACTTCACGGTATATTACATAGACGATATCTGCATCGCGTCTAGGAATGAAGCTGAACACATTCAACACATTCGCACAGTGTTTCAGCGTTTACACCAATTCGGCCTAAAACTCAACATCAACAAGTGCGTGTTTGCTTAGACGGAAGTTATCTTTCTCGATCACAGTATTGATCAAAATGGCATTCGTCCGCCAAAAGAAAGGGTTGCAGCAATTCTCAATTGTCCGAAGCCAAGCAGTGCGCAAGAACTTCGTCGTTTTTTGGCCATGGTGAATTTTTATCGTCGTTTCATTCCTAATGCAGCGGTAGTTCAAGGAGAGCTGCTAAAACTAATAATAGGAAATCGAAAAAATGACAAAACGCCGATTAAGTGGATAAAAGAAGCGGAATCAGCATTCGTTGATTTTAAGAAAACGCTTGCTGATGCCAGTTCACTTGCACACCCAACAGCAGAAGCCAATCTCATTCTACATGTCGATGCGAGTAATACCGCGGTGGGAGTTGCATTGCATCACATCCGTGAAGGACGACTCGAACCACTTAGTTTTTATTCAAAACGGTTGACTGACACACAACGACGGTTCAGTGCCTATGATAGAGAACTTCTTGCCATTTATCAAGCAATTAAGCATTTCAAACATATGGTAGAAGGCAGGAACTGTACGGTGTTACTATTCATAAACCCATCATTTTTGCATTTCAGCAAAATCCTGAAAAAGCCCAAGCAACTCCGTTATCTGTATTACATAGGTCAGTTTACTACTGATATCAGAAATTTTCCCGGTAAAGACAACAGCGTTGCTGATTTCCTATCACGCATTGAATCAATACAGGGGGAAAAGCAGATTGGCTTTGATCAGTTAGCAAAGAGCCAACGAAATGACATGAAGCTGCAACAACTCTTATCACAGGGCAAGACTTCGCTTCAGCTTAAATTGGTGCATCTACTTAGTTCATCGAATCTTATTACGTGCGATTTCTCAACAAAGAATAAGCGACCGTGGATCACAGATGAATTTCGTAGACAAGTTTTTCACACCATACATAATTTAGGTCATCCAGATAGCAAGGCCACGCGAAAACTGATCAGTGAACGATTTATCTGGCCAAACATTAAAAGGGATTTAGCAAAAATGGTAAAAACATGTCCACAATGCCAGCGAGCTAAAATAGGTAAACGCAACAAAACAGTATACCTGCGATTTGCAGCAGTACACCTTGATATCGTGGGGCCATTACCACCATCAGACGGATACAGCTACTGTCTGACATGCATAGATCGATTTACCCGGTGGCCTGTTGTTATTCCTATTATGGACATTCGTGCAGACACAGTAGCGGCGTTCTTCACGGTATGGGTTTCACACTATGGCGTTGCTTCAGAGATCACTACAGATCCGGTCAGGCAGTTCGAATCAAAGCTGTTCGCTGAACTTATGCAGTTGATTGGTGCTAA